TTATATATATATATATATATATATATATATATATATATATATATAAATAAATAAATGACAATCAACAAGCTTACCAGAGCTAGTGCTCACTTGTAACTGGTTAGTTGATCCAGTCTAAAAGAGGAAAAAAGTTAATTATAGATGCTGGTAAAGATTCTCATTCATCCAGGTAATAGTCATTCCAAAATACTTAAAACAAGACAATCCACTTGGCTTTGTTTCCAAGTTTGAAGATGTTTCACTTCCAATCCAGGAAGCTTTTTCAATTGAAATAGTCAGGAATAGCTTTGAGTTTGAGGCTTCATAAAGTGGACTAAAAACAAAGCCTTGCTTTGGCTTAGAAGACATGCAAATTGAACTGGATGAACGGGTCCGCCCCTTTGAAATGGGGGTAATTTGGGTTCTTTGTTAGCCTGCAATACCTGATACCTGTGCATGTGTCTGAAAGGGGGTCGCTAGAAGGAATTGTAGGCCTGGCTGAGCAGGCAAGGTTTTCTGTTCCCCTGTAAGGGGGTGGGGGTTACGATTCATTGCGTTACTTATGGGGGTACACAGCAGTGAAAAAGATGGTGACTAAAACATTAACATACCTGTGTTTGGGACTGAAGAATTTCCTGGGCTTTTTTCACAATCAATACCAGTTCCTCCACAAATTTTTCTTTCTCTATATCTAGGACAAAATCCTCCTCTACCTAAAAGGGAAAACCACACAGCAGTTACAAAAAATAAGGTTTATAAATATGAGTATTGACATCACCAAAACACTGCAAGTTTTACCATGTAATCTGCAATGTCTTCAGGAGCATCTCCTTCAATATCAAATTTAAATGTCACCATCTTGTTGCTATGTGTCTCTAGCTGGCATTCTACCAGATTGTCTCCCTTCCCAGACACCTGTGAATGTTAAAATAGACAAAAACATCATACAGTTCTAGGAAGAAATACAGGCTTCAAAGTAGCTTTAAAACATGATTTCTGGCCTTCTCACTTGGAGCATGCTGAGTTGAAACTGATGCAAACTTTTCTCAAGCTTCTGAGAGGAATTTTTTTTCTGAGACTTCGACTTCTCAGTCTTTCCATTTGCCAGATTATGTAGAGTGTCTTCTCCATTTGCTGAAACAGACCTGAGGAGAGTAATGAACATGGATATCAAATACATTTTGGAATAATTTAACAACATTTTTAGATGGAAAATAAAATTAAGAACTCAAAAAGACAAGACAAGTGAAAGCCAAAGTTGTTCACACAATAGAAAATAAATGTTTTGTAAGAAAACCTACCCTGTTGAAGAATGACATTCTGCACTTGCAAGGGATGGACCATCCTGCAGAGTATTCATAGACAAAACATGGATATAAGGAAAACACATATGCACACACAAAAAGATCAGTTGCCATAATGGTAAACATTCACATATTATTATTATCATTATTGGTAATATGTTATAAAGTTCAACCCTGCCAAACATGGTGGAACCATCTGAAGTACATTAGCACAGAATTCTGAACATACAAGAAAGCGGTGGAGGTAAACCAGTTTCTTGTATGTGTATTTCATATATCATAATATATCCTTACACTTGTTTTGGTGTTTATTCAATAAATAAAGGACAAATGAGCATTCACCAAATATTTCTGGAACAAAACTGTTGGGATACTTGAGTGGGAACTTAATTAGCTCCCATCAATAAAATACTGATTTAAATGAATGAAAAAGCGTCTCAGTACATAGCAGATTGATAAACTTGAACTAAAGGGACAAGGGGAGCTGTGTTCCACTACTAACATCAACCAACTTTAAACAACACAAAGTCCCATTCTGAACTGAAAAGACAGAAATTACATAACTAATTGCAAGAAAATCACACTAGCCCTGTACTAATAGTAAAAACATTCCCAAACAACTACATTTTTCCTAGAGGTAATAAAACATATAAAGAACAGAGCCCCAAAAAATGTTTTTTGATGACAAAACGAAAGTTTGTTAGTGTAAGAAAATTCACCATAAACAATGATCTTGGGCTGACTGCTTACTATAGAGGAAATTATTATTTTGTTTATAAACTCACTGTGGAAAACTTTAAAGGGTTAAGCAATTAACTATTTCCTAAATCCAGGTAAGAAGATTTAAAAACATAATTGGGCAGAACTAAATTCTCCACAAAGGTGCCAAACTAAATAAAATATCTTGAAAAACAGCTTTTACTAAAAACCCTGCGCAAATAATATCAAGGGTGGATTTTATATCAAGCATCCTGCAACTAAATATGGATAGGGCATCTCCACAATAGTGATTAGTATAAAAGTAGCTTAAACCTATTTCAGGTAGTATAATCAATAAAAATATAAGTATAAGCAATAAGAATATAATCTGATCAACGTATTTTGTATATGTTTATTAAGTTTTCCGACATTTAGTTCTTACAGTTCAAGGGGGCTAAAAATAAATTTGACCCACACTGTAAACTGATTTAGGAATTTTTGCTTCAGGAATCAGAATGTCAGTATGTATCAAAGATGTAAAGTTACTTTTAAACACAAAATTCAGTAGGAGGCAATCTTAACCATTAGATAAATCTAGTTTTGTATTTCATGTACCTGAGCGATGGCCGGCAGGGAAATATCACAATCTTGCAGCGAGGCTTGGGGTAGTTTAGGAGCATTAGAGTCAAGCGATTGTAGAGCAGAGACAGGTTGAGGAGAGGTGGGAACAAAGGATGGCTGGCCAGGTAAAGATACCTGAGCTACTGTTGAAGATGTGGGAAGCTCTGCAGCTGGGACGGGTTGTTGGGATGGTACAGAGGGAAGTGTGGTGGAGAGGCACGAGGGGCTGAGGGGAAGTTGTTGTGGAGGACATATAGCATGACTAAAAAAAGATTCTTCAGACATGGGTTTCTGGTGGTCTGGCTGAGTGTGAGAATGACTTTGTGTTTGAACCTGTGTCTGTGTTTGATAGTATGTCTGGGGCTCAATGCAGGTTTGTGTATACGTGTGAGCTGGCAGCAGATGTTTGGCATGGTGCTGTTGAGATGGAGGAGCCTCTGCCTCTAAGTGGCTATAAAGTGGGAGGGATGTGTTCGGTGACTGAAGCAAAGAAACATTACTGGAACCTGACTGTGCAGGAATCTGTATAGTCTGATGTGAAGTAGGGGGATACTGAGGAGGAAACTGACTTTTGTCAAGTGTTGTCAAAGGTTGCTCTAGAGGAGATGGTTGCTGGGTTGCAGTTTGGATTAGCTGTGCAGTTAACTGAAGCTTTGTTGTAGAATTTCCTTGGGGTTCAGGAACTTGAGGATGATTTTGTAACTGCTCAACAGACTGAGGCATTAATGACTGAATGATGAAAGAGTCCACAGAGCTTCCGAGGAACTTCTGCTGGGCTGCAGGAACTGGATATAGTGCTGTTTGTCCTGGAACTACCCCTTGTCCAGTTTGCACTGGAAGATGAGAAACAGGGTGGCTAGCAGGGTCAACTGATGGAGCAAGACTCTCAGTAGTTGTCACAGCAATCTCAGTTGAGCCTGGAGACAGAATCATCTGCTGATACTGCACTAGTGGTTGCTGAAGCACCTGATGTTGTGAAACATGAGTCATATTGTGCTGCAAAGATGGCATGGCTTGGGGGAGAGGTTGTGAGACGTGCTGTGGACTCATAAAGCCAGGGTTGGGATGCCCCTGACAAAGCAGTTGGCCTTTTGTTTCTTGTTGGACAGGGGTCTGTCTGAAACCTTGCTGTGAAGTACTTTGCTGAGCATAAGTTTCTTGTTGTTTTGGACTTGGGAGAGAGGCAATTGCATTAGAATGTTGATTAGTGGCTTGGTTTTGTTGGCCCATCATCTGAATATTGATGTTTGGGACTTGACCATGTGCAACCTGGGGCTGTACAATAGTTGTGTGTTGAGGCTGATTCTGGATTAATGACTGAGCAGCTACCTCAGCCTGTGTGGGAGTTACAGGTCCAGGATAACTAGCCTGTAATGGAATTTGCTGGGTCTGCAATTGCGTTTGTCCCTGGATCATGGCTGTTGGGGTAGATACACTGACTGCAGTTGTAGCTGGTGGGGCTTGGGGCAAAGACGGGACTAAAAACTGGGTTGGAATTTGGTTCTGATTCGGGTTGTGAAAGGAACTTTGTCCTTGCTGACCCAAGAACACTGAAGCTGTCGGGAGAGGAATAGGTTTAGTCTGGATGGTCACTGGGACTTGAATTTGTGGTTGGAGTCCCTCGATGCTCACAGGAACACCCACTAAAAGTTGAGATTTGATAGAGGTGTGTTGTTGTGGCTCAGCACCAACAGCTTGCTGCTGTTGTTGGATAAGTTGTACCTCCTGCTGCTTCTCCATAGTTTCATGTCTGGCTGACTGTTGTGTAGCCTGAAGAGTTATAAGTTGTGGAGTACACACCTCCTGCACATTAGCAGGTTGTGTCTCTATTTGCGAGGTGTTGCTATTTTGAGGTATAGGCACAGATTCTTGTTTTTCAGCTTGCTGTAGATGCTGAGTGGTGGGAGCTTGCTGTTCTTGATGTTTCATTTGGGCCTGTTGCTGAAGGACTGCATTTTGTCTGTCTAAGGCAACTTGCTGAAGATGATTTTCAAGCTTCTTCTGCAACAGAGCTTGCTGCAGATACTCTAAGCTTTGTTCAAGTTGTACTTGTTTTAATTCTTGCTGCTGCAGCTGAGCTGCCTGTTGCAGCTGGGACTGCTTTAAGATGATCTGCTTTTGCAAATGCTGTTGCATGAATGCTTGTTGTTGTTCCATGTGCTTGAATATGCTTTGCTGTTGCGTCTGCTGAGATTGTTGCTGCAGTATAGTGTTTTGTTGCTGTTGTCCAGTTCGTTCTTGTGCCTCTAGTCCTGTTTGCAATATTCCTTCCTGCTGTTGTCCTGTTTGCTGATATAACTGATGTTTCTGCTGTTGCTGTGAGGGAATCTGTGGCTGTTGTTGCATTTGTGTCTGTGTAGGTTGTCCTTGATGGAGATAACCTTGATTTTGCTGTTCAAATGTTGAAAACCCAGGAGCGAGATGCTGATCCAACAATTGCTTGTGTTGTATTGCTGTCTGCTGTTGGAGTTGTGTCTGGTGCTCCTGTTGCTGAATCAGAGCTATTTGTTGCTGCTGATCAACCTTATGCGCATACATTGGGTGTCTTTCAAGGAGTAGCAGGTGTTGATGCTGAAGTAACTGCTGTTGCTGTTGTAATAGTGTTTGCTGTTGCTGAAGCTGTTGCTGTAGTTGTTGTGATTTTCTGAAAGTTTGCTCGCAAGTTTCTCCTGTCGGTTGCAGTTCATAGGCCTGAGCTTGCTCCCCTGGCAGTGGCAATAACAAAGCTTGCGTCTCCACATTTGTTTGTGTGATCATCACTTGCTGTTGAGAAGTTGACTGGAGTGGGGGATTTAGAGTAATCTGCTGCTCAGACTGGACTGTTGCAGCTGAAAGGCTATGATGATGCTTTTCTGGCAACAGCTGAGTTGCAATAGTCTGTTGCTGTTCAGCCAATGCGAGCTGATGTGGTTGCTGCTGATGAGTAGCAGTCTGGTGGACCATGTCTGCTTGTTGTGGAGTAATGGACTGGTGTGGACTAACAACATGCTGTGTTTGCTGAGGAGCAGAGTGGGGAGTAATGTCACTCTGCTGCATGAGAGCAACAGGTAGCTGAGTTGGCAGAGTGTGGGGCACAATGGTCCCTGCAAGTCCAGTAGGGTCGCTAACTGACATGGATGAAGGAAAAACATTAATGGGAGCTTGTGGAGAAACTGCATGTATGTTTGACTGTGAGGGAGCCATGGATACAGGAGCAGTGACCGTTTGGAATGCATCTGATGGAAATGTTTGTGACTGCTAAGTGACAATGAAGTAAGAAGGATTTGAGTAGAATATAAGAAAGGGAGGGGAGAGAAAGCGGTACAGAAATTGGGTTAGGAATTAGCCATGACAGGGAAAATAAACAGACATTTAACTTTAAAGAACAGTGTTTCCCACAGCATTTTATACAAGATAAGGAGTTTAGATCATACACTACAATTACGCTTCAGAAAACCAAAGCATGAATTTTAAAGACCCATTTTTACATTACAAACCTGTAAGTGTCTTAATATTCTTGCATTTTAGTATCTTTACTTAATAACATCCTGTGGGAAGCTCTGTTTATTGCTACAAGGAATGCCAATCTCAGTTATGAGCCCACTGGGTTTGTTATTTAATAATTAATCAAGGAAATAGTCCATCTGAACAGAGTTATATAAACATTTCTTTACTTAAATTAGCAATAGAATTTAAGGCTTTGTCCCTTTGTAAAAGTTGTTTATATTTGTAAAAGATGTAAACTTTTTTCACCTGAAAGTGTTGTTGCGCTACACTCTGAGATATCTGTGGAACAATGGCAGTAGGTTGAAGAAACACCTGGCCAACAGGTCCCCCTTCGATATTGGGGATGCAAACATTGGACAAACTAACACTCTGAGATACCGGCAGATTTGGAACACCTCCAGTCTCGCCAGGGCCCAGTTTTGGAGTTTCAGTGAATAGGCCAGAGTTCTGTACCACAAGAAGATGTGTAAGCACCAATTCTTCACTTCACAATCAATATACAGATTTTATATGAAACAGATGTCTATCATTAACAGGCTTAAGCATAAACCTACAGATATCAAAGGTTGAGGAGTTATCTGAGAATGGGAGTAGGGTTCCCCTTGTAGAGAGAGTGCCTGGCTCTGTCCACTTGCATAGGATTCACAGCTGGCAGACCCAACACTTCCAGTTTCTAAAATAAATAAAAAAGCAATAAAAAACTTGGTGAAAAATGCTTTATCTAGTCTTAAAACACATTTTAAAATATATATTTTTAGCCAATACAGCTCCTTCTTTCAATTATCCTGAATTGTTTACATTTTGTCAAGCTATTCAGTTCCCCTTCAACACAATACAAGAGCATAAATGCTTTAGCAATGTAGTGCAGGAAGCAAGTTTTTGATTAGCTCTACCTGGCAAGCTAAGGGTTGTCACACCAAGCATATGTTGCTGTCTGACATGCTGATCAACTTCAGGGAGCTCCTCTGACTCCTGAACCACTCCTCCAGCTCCACTTTCTGCACCTCCTGTTTGTCCAGCTGTTCCAACCATTAGTGACGAAGGGCATGAAGGAAAAGAGAAGACATAAGAGGAGATGGTAGAATCTCTCCTGTCATCAAAGCCTTGATGAAAAAGCTGCTGCTGCCGACGCTCTCTTGACTTTTTGATTAGATTCACTCGGTCTCGGATGGATTTTCCCACTACTTTTGCATCACTCTCATGGAAGAAGCCTGACTTCACCTGTGAAAAGTAAAATGGGAAGACAAAAAGACATAACTACTTAGGGTGGTTCTAGCCTTCCGGAAAGTAGTTTATTAGTTTTGAAAGTCTAGTTTCCTTTATGACAATTACACGAATTTTGCAAAATCAGGTTTTGGTTGAATTTATTTAACCCACTGGTCATTGCTTTTAGTATGTTCATATGTCTTACCATTTCTAAAGCAACTTCCTCAGCGCTGTCATTCTCCAGGTCATAGGTGAACTCAATGGCTTCATTGTCCTTGTGTTTCCCCTTCAGCTTTTTGGGGTCTTCAACCCAAATCCGGAGAGCCAGGCAGTCCTGTGTGCCTGTGTCTTCTTCTGCCAGTTCCACTCTGACTCCTGTATCTTCTGCAAAGAATGCATGATTCAGGAGGTCTCTGATTGAGAGTCTGTAAGGGCGAAACGAAAACAAGACTGTGACAAATACATTTCCATGATGGATTAAAGACATAAAACAAAAATTGTTTTACCTCTGGCATTTGTTCTGACGAATGCAGCCCTCAATAATCTCCTTGATTTCTGGGTCATTTACTTTATCAAAGCTGGCTGGTTTAATACCCTGCATAAAAATGGCAAATAAACAAAATATTTTAAACAAGGTGTTTTAAGACGTTCTTTGTGCTCCAATATCTTGGCTATATTAACAGGTTATAACATAGAAATATTTCTTTGTTATTAGGAGTGATCAGGTGTATTTCCTTTACAGACACTTACACTTGTGACTTTGCGATAGATCTGAGCAGCATTTTGGCATTCCGAGTAGGGATATTCGGAAGTAGCCATCTCTAGCATACACATCCCAAAGGCATAAACATCGACAGATTCATCATAGTGCTCCTCATACATCTCTGGGGCCATGAACTCTGGGGTTCCTGGCAAAGCAAGAAAGCAGCTTTAAATTTAAAATTGGCTACAAAGAAAAACAGGAAGTGCAATCAATCATTGGTCTCCAGTCGTGGTCGTCCAGAGGAACTGTTCTAAAAAGTTGATATGTTTGGAATACAATAGCCAACGAAGATTGCCATCAAACTAGTTATTAGTAAAATTAACATTGTGCAAACTTTTAATGTCATTCTATTTTTGAGATTTTGCCCGGATATATACCACCTTCCCTGCTAACTGGGATCTTTAAGTTGTTAAAGTTGTTTAAGTGCTGGAACCAGAAGTAATCTTTCCCGTTCATTCTCTAATCAGTGCTTCTCAACCTTTTTTGAGTTGCTTACCCCCTTAGCCATTTTTTGATACCATGAACACACCTGGGGTCAAATGTGTTGATTATTCTCCAAAAATAATTTAATTTGCTTAACTTGCACAGTTAATGCTCAGACATGTCATTCTTTTCAATTAGAATAAAAAATAACATAAATATGTTACGTGGAAAGTTTATAAGTACTGAAACAAATACAAAATCAAAAAAAGTTACAAATCTACAAATTTGAGCTCTTCTGAATAAGCCCCTATTAATGCATCTAAACTTGGCAAATCAGGAACAAAACAAAATATTATTTAGATTCACTATGTCCTTTTTGCTTTGTTATCATCATTCACTGTGTTAATGAAACACCAACCTTTTCCTGAATCCCCAGCAAGGGGATGTTTTATCCATATATCATTGAATGCAGCTGCTTTGGGTTTGTTCCTCTTTTGTGACCTTTGTCTTTGACCCTGTCTTCCCGCTCTCACTCGCAAAGAAGTAGTGCAGGTGCACAGCACAGATACTCACACTATTCATTCATGTAAATGTTGATTATGAGATTTTCTTTTTATCTTTTTGGTTGATAAAATCTTGGTTTATTTTTTCATGTGGGTCCTTACAGAGCTAGACCAACCGCAGCCCTATCTTTTTAAGAAAAATAATGAATGTTTTCAAATATTCCCTGCCAAGGACGTAATTTTGTTCGGTCCCCTGCAGTTGTTACTGTCCAAAAACAGTATTACGCTACAGTACACAGACATTCGTTGAGCACTAGGACCAAGCGGAAAACCGCAGATCAAACTGAAGCCTTCTTCCCTAACTTTAGACCATCCACAAGCTACAGATTGGCCCGCTGTCTTTTCTTGTGCCATTGGCTGTCACCACTTTCACTCCTAAGAAGCTCACTTTATAAACATCTGATATGCCACTAAATCGGGTCCGTTAATAGATGGACAAACACGCTGATGTTATTTTTCCTTATAACTTTTAAAAGATACTGATAACTGCATAATGAAAAAAACAGCACAATTATTCACTCTGACCCAATTATCCACCATCACATAAGGTTCTTTTTAAATACATCTAAATCCAAATCTTTGCCTTTTTCCTTTTTTAACGCATTGACTTTGAGGACACAGTATTCACTGAATCCCCTAATGTCTTCCAGCTACAACCACATGCCAAGATAATTACCGTCAGTAGTCATGTTTCCGATCAGTGTGTACATCTTACCTATGACACTTTTTGCAAATGAGGTCCTCATAAGGGTAGCAAGTCCCAGGTCACCTATTTTAACTGATCCTGTGGGGCCTGTTATGAAAATGTTGTCACACTTGAGGTCTCGGTGGACAATCGGTGGAGTCCTAGTGTGAAGGAAGTGAAGGCCTTTCAGAATTTGTCTGCACCAACTTCTGAGGACTTTGGGTTTCATCACCTTGAAGCGCTTAAGGTAGCTGTGCACAGAATATATATGGTGTCAATACCCAGAATACAGAGCACAATGAATACAACTATAGAAGTAGAAATGTATTTTTAATATCTTTGGCATAATTCATAGTACACTTACTTTATGCAGAGATTAATTGTAGATGGGTTAAAACTACTTCGCTGTTAAAAAATATGATTAAAATGGCCTTAATTACTAAAACCTCTATAAGCTGTTTTCATTGCCAAAGAAAGCCTCCAATGAGACAACAATCATGTTGTACTTGAGTGATAACTGTGTGCTTAAAAGCTCTATTGGTAGAGCTCCTTTAATCTTGCTTAAAAGGTGTAACAGCTACAGGTAGGTCATGGTTACTGTGATCACTTTAAGGCTTCAGCTGTCATCTGCCATGCTTTGTGTAGGCTGTGTTCATCCCTTATGTTCTAATTTCTTACAGTATCTGGTGCTTACAATTTGAAACGAAAATGGCCAAATGCCTTTGCTTTATGTACATGTGGTACATGCTAGCACAAAACCTGCCAAATAAAATAAACAAATGGAAATCATCCTTGGAACACAATCAGGCCTAATGGAATTTTCTTTGGGAAAATGAAAGATCTTTATTTCTATATACTGGCCCTTTTTTAAATAATAAATCTGAATGTGAGGAATACATATGTGATTTTTCACTAACGTTTTGAGTGTTCCAGATGTCATGAGCTCGGTGACCAGTACAATGCACTTCTTTCCACGCAGCACAGACTCCCAGGAATCATAAAAGCGGACTATGTTGGGATGTTGAAGTCCCTTCAACATTTCTGCCTCCTCCTTGAAACGTTGCTGCTCTGCTTTGGTTAGCTTACGGTCCTGCAAAAAAGAAACAAAAAAGTACAAGCAAAGATAAATGATCAGAATATATACACGTATGGCTTATTTACAGCACCACGGTATAAGATGGCATGAAGAGATTACATTTAAAACATCATGAGCTTGGCTACCTGTTACTTGTACAAATGTAATAAGGCATTATACCACTAGATGGTGATAGCTATCTAAAAATGCAGTAAAGCTTAGGCAACACCCAAGCTGTAGCTTTAAACACATTTTTACTGCAGATGCACCATATTGCCAATATAGCACAAAGAAGCGCTGCTGCAGGAATCAGAAATACAGTCATGCGACATTCTAGAAAATAGAAAGAGCGCTTGACTATTCTTATGCACAAGAACAAATTCTACTGTACATTAAGCAAACATTCTTCTTGAATAGTATGTGTATGGTTATATAATCCATCTCAGCTTAAGTCCTTTTTAACCCTTTTCTGTGCTTTTAGCATGCAAATCCATTCGATATATAAAATCCATTATGAAAACAATTTGTTTAACTAACACGGTGTGCAGTACTGAAAAAGATAAAAAAAAAAAGATATAAATAATCATAATTTAATAAAAATAATAAAATCAGAATAAAACATACTACAAAGAGTGTATTGATAAAATAGAAAAATAACCAACTTGTACTAAGGAGCAATACCAAGACAAAAGCAGAATAAAATTCCTGTAATAAAAAGATGTATTCTTAAAAATCTGTTACGTGTTTGTGATGATACAAGAGAACCTATATTGACAATACCATATTTCACTTTGCAGGAGCTCTTTTCCTTTTCCTTTAGGCTAGTGCATAATATTTAATTGCATTAAACAGCAGATTCATCTGCTATATGTGAGCAAACAACCTACACATTCCTGTGTTTTCCTTTTATCTGTTCAGCTACTTTTTAGAACCATTGGTACAGTAAGACGCCTTTCAGAAGAACTGCATAGTTTAAAACAGGTACCTGTCATTAAAAATACGTTAATGGTAAAAAACAAGTTTACAATAAAATGGCTCCAGCTTTAAAGTAAGATATAGAGTCCAAAGGCAGCTATTGCGGTGTCACGTACAAACAAGCCATAAATAGTGTTCATCATAAGACTGGTTTTCCACCGATCAATTCCATTGATGCTGAGCTTTTTGCTTTAAAAAAAAACCCATCACAGTCAGTGCCCTGCAGGTATTTAGGTGCAAATATGCAAAATACAAACAATATAAAAAAAAAACAACCACCATGTAATACAACTTTTGATGGTTGAATCTATTTCTTTTATCTCTCATCATCGCAGCCCCAGCAGTGTTTGGATGCTTCTCTCCCTGTGCTCTGTCCTTTTCTGGCAATACTAGTTGGGAAGGCAATTCCTTGATCCCTCCTCTTTAACAGGCAACTGAAGTGTGTCGGAAAAAATGCTGTTGGCACTATGTGGTCCTAGAATGCCTAACAATAAGTTACACCTTTCATAACACTAGTTATATTATGGTGCAAATAAAGAGATGCACATGCAAATAGCGATCAAAACTTTTTCACATTTTGTGTGGTTAATTCGAGTGCATTTTTATGGTGATTTCCTGCCATACATGGTCATATAGTAGTCAATAATTCTCCCCATCATGCATATGAAGCCCTGTTTAATTCGACACCTTAGTATACCAATTACCTTCAGATCTTATCAGTAAATAAAGTACATCTGTTTTTAGTTTATTCAAAGTATAAATCCTGCTGTTGAGCGAAGACCTCAGAGAACTTTAGTGAACAAACAGCATCATGTAGACCAGGGGACACAGCAGTTAGGTCAGTTCTGTTTTAAATATTAAGGATGCATGGCATAAGAGAGACTTAGCAATACAAAGGACATAAAAGAGCAGAAGAGGCCAATACAAATATTGGAGGAGTAGATACAGACAAAAAAAAGATCCCTTTTTCCTTTCACCTTACAATTAGTCGAAACTTTAATGAGTACAATGCTTTTGCAATGCACTACACGTCATTATCCGTCGTTCTCCTAAGTCTTAATGCTGATTTATTTTTTCTCAAGCACATCTGTATAAAACTTTTGTACCTCGAGAACAAAACAAAAAAAAGGTGTTTGAGGACGAAAAGTTCTTTATTGTGACAGGATGTGCTGCTTCTGTTTGAGCCTCTCTGTCTAACTCCTCATATGGAGCATCACTCTGCTTCACTGTCTGGCACAGAGTCAGACAGGCAACCTGGTTGTGTGTTTCTGTCTGCAGCCTCCTCAGCATCTTCTTTTCCTTGTTGAGTGTCACATCAGGCAGCGTCAGTGTAAGCAGAGGTCACAAGTTCATTTAGTGTTTCTATAGCTGCTCAGTTGTGTCTAGACAAACCTTACATAAACATGTTCTTCACAAATCAACTCAAAGATGTGAAAACACACCGTCTAATTAATTTATTAATATGACAAATTAGCATTAATACAACCACTAAGACTGATGGCTTCGTATCTATCCTTGTTAAAGGATAAAAACTCCATCACAAAGGTGAATAAATATTGACTTGCTATGTTTGTGAAGGCTGGCGGTCAGTGTTGGAGCCCTGTGTGAGGTGCTGGCAATTCTGGATAGCAGGTTGTGCTGCGCTGCTGTGCCTGGATGGGGAAGGCGGCCCCTCGGTTATCCGATTGCAGCGAGCAGTCAAGTACCGCGTCTTTTCTGCTGTACAGGTGGGAAATATTGTCTACCTGCGGTAACTGACTGTTATCCATCGCAGTTCTTGTTGTTCTGGAGCACGGACCATAATGATATGGAAATCCGTCTGGAGCTGTGGCTATACTAAACTGTGCAACTAGCTAGGGTTTGTTGTTTTATGAAATAAAATATTTCATAAAAAAATAAATGATGTATCAGCTTTATTTCCATCAGGCAATTTCTTAGAGTTATACATCAAAGAAAACAAGCAATTGCAACTTTGGTATATTGAAACCAACTGATGCAGTGAGAGCAGGATTGATGATAAAACAATCTGCCGTGATCTGAACATAGTTTGCTGTATCGGTTCGGACGCCAGATTGTCCGGTTGATTTTTATCTAATCTATTTACTTTTTGATCGAAATTTGATGCCAAACCGAGTCCTTCGGATAATTAAATATTCTTTTTCCCGATCCAAAGTCATTCCTAGAATTGGCAGCAGTACAATAGACCATTGTAATTACGTTTTAATGATCCTTTCAGAGTGCTTAACAATGCGTGACGTGGTGGTTCTATACACCCGCCCGAGGACGTTTGACTACACTGATGTCACGGCTGGGTTTCATCACATGATGGCTCTCACCGGACTCGCAGATCGCTAGAGTTGCTCAGCATACTGTAAAATCCTACGATTTATATTACTTGGAGCATTTTATTGCGATTTAGACCAGCCACATAGCGAAAAGAAACGATAATCTACCATCACACACGATAAAACTGCTCTAGATGCACTTGTTTCTATTTGAACTTTAATATTTTATCGTAACCTGCAGAGATTAGAGAAACCCTCTGCCAGAATAAGAAAATAAGCAGCCCCAGAACATAACAGGGCCTCCTACATGTTTCACAGTAGGGACTGTTTTATTTTCTTTATATACTTAATTTTTCCATCTGTGAACATAGAACTGCTTTGCCTTGGCAAACAGTTAAATTTTTGTCTCATCTGTCCATAGGTCATTCGCTGAACCAAACTGGCCACTTCCAGGAAGGTTGACTACAGTCCCATATATCTTGCAATTCTAAATATGTGCAACTGCAGTCACAAGAGCATCAAGCTGCTTGGGTATGGATAGCTTCTACCCTAAACATGCTTTCTCCTGACCCTTCTCAGTTGGTAAACATTATGTATTTATGTGGGCAGAAGGGCAGCAGGTATGGGATAAAACTTCTAATTGTCTGTAATATGTTGTGTACTCTGACAAAACAATATGTCAATTTAAGCTCCTTGTGGATCCAACCCTGTGTCAGTTTGTTTTGCCTCCAGGTAACGTTCTAAAGTAACAGTGACATAAGCAGAAAAATGGTCTATAATTTTCCTTCTAATCTCCTGAGTTAACTCTCTTTGCTTCCTTTGGTCCATGTTGAGTGTGGTACACACCATGTCACCAAACAACACAGCAAATACTTGTAGCCCTATATAAAGGCCACTGACTGATTACATGATTGTAGACACCTGTGATGCCATTTAGTAGGAATACCTTGATTTAACATGTCCCTTGGGTCACATTATTTTGGGTCTTTTCTAGAGGTACCATCCCTCTTGTCAGGCCTGTTTCTTGAGTTTATTTTTTAAACTGGATCTATTGATGCATGGTTGAAAAGCAATATCTGACTTTCATATGTTAATTTTCAAAGAATTTTCGTTTATCATTACTTTAGTCAGTTTTAAGTAGCTAATGTGACCATTGCGTGTTTTCTTTCAGGGTTACCAACTATTTTGTCCAGATGTGCAGTTCTCCATGAATTATTATCTAGGTGATCTATTTGGAAATCCCTTTATTGTCTGTTTATGGGGAAATTCACTCCCTGCATTTGACCCATCCCCTTGGGGAGCAGTGGACTACCATTGTTTGGTGCCCAGGGATTAGTGTGGGGTTAAGGGTTTTACTCAGGAAGTCGGAGTGGAGGCTGTGGGGATTGAACCAGGTTCTTGCAACCTTTGCAGAGCAAAAGCACACAGCTCTAGCCACTAGACCAACACTTCCCTACTCCCACTGTAGCCTTTTTCTTGACAAGATTCACCAGAGGGCTGATTTTTGCTTCTGACACCGCAGTTTGCAGCTGGTCACTTAGATCAGTATATAATGTAGAAGAAAATATCTGACATAACCAAATTTCAAGGACCTAATACTACAAATTATACGATATATACTCCACAGAATAACTCTATTAGACAGTTGGGTCAAATGCCTCTAGGCAGGTGTAGTGAGAGCACAGCTGTGTCTTTTCAGAAGGCTGCTGTTGCTTATTTCTTATGCAAGAAGAGGAACTGTGACAGCTCCCTTTA